TATATGAAACATTGATAATTTATTATTGATGTAAAAGTGTTTTAATTAATTCCGATTTTTGATAGTCTAATATCCTAATATATTTGCCGATTTGCATGATTATGATTTTAAAAAGAAAAAAATTATCTTTTGATATTTCTGCATTCGCTTATATTATTTTCAGAATCACAAGTATATTATTTCTACGTAAAATAAGGAACAAATGACATTTGTAGTTAAATAACAACACATATGATTTCCATAGTTATTCATAGTTGTTGAATTATATTCAATACTAATTTTACTCATTATCTGCATAAAAGATATATTCTTTGATTTTAATAAAGCTGATTTCACATTTTAATATACAATTAAAAAATTAAACATGACTTCATGCAATTCTATTCTTATTGTTAGAGCATAAAATTAATAAAAACGAAAAAAGTGAAAAATATTCAATCATTGCATATTAAAAATGAAGATTGCAAAATGAATAACAAAAGTGTAAAATTGATTAAGTTTTCTTTTCTACATGTATTCAATCTGAGAAAATAATGATTTAATTGAACTTATTTATAGCTTATCGATAGGAGAGATACTTTTATATCATTGATTCTGTTTGTGCTAATTTTTTTTTTATGAAAGAAGATAAAATGTGCGTGTATGTTCCAATTCGTAGAATTCTTAAGATCTTTGCAATTCATAATTGAAATCGACATCATGCGTAGGATAAAAGTAATATGCCGCGATTCGCGAAGAACGACAGAAACATTCGACATGTAGTGCGTGAATTTTTGCCTGCGCATATGTGTGCGAACTCAGGTTTGAGGGGCAGGGAGGGATCTATGAAGGGAGAGAAGATGCGGGAATCGCCAACACATCTCTCGATATCTCACAGTTCGATCTCTCGAGCCGGCCGCTCGTATATTTACATGTATAATTTATATATCCCATGGTCCGAACATGCGGTACGTTCGACCAGGGCGGGCCCAGGGCCATCCTTATGATCGTTCTGAGATGTCCGTTGAATCCCGTGCGAGCTATCCTAATACGAAAAGACATTGTAAAAGGGAGCCCGGCTCGAGAGAAATTTGCAAGAATTCAGTCGCGTGAATTCCCACGATCGTTAAGCGACGTCGATCGATCGGCTCGAAAATCTCCTCGGAAATTCTGCGTGTGCGTTTTTCGAACGACATGCGTTCTTCTTGCTTAAACGCGCGAAGCGAAGTTAAGCCGGTTATATGCGGTATTATATGTGATCATTATTTTGTACTTTCATTTTTTGCATTGAAACCTGATCTTTATTCGTGAACATTTCTTGATGTAAATTTGATGATTACATAACACTACTTAATAGACACTTAGAATGCAATAATTGTGAAATATAATCGTTCACAAAAAAACTTCTAATTTGTATTATATTATTATCACTAAGTCATCATGTCATCTACTATTAATCACTAATAATAATAGAAAAACTTCAGTCTTTTTATTTATTTATTGTCTCATAAAAAAATTGATGCTTCTGTCGTTTTAATATCTTGTACAAAATTTAAAATATTAATTTTAATGGGTTACATAAAAAGTTGATCTAAACTTCAATGCGATTGCGGATATAGAATGTCTCTATAAACAGAAGTAGCTGGAAAACTGGAAAAAAAATGTTTGATAATTTATTACAGTGTAGGATGGTTTGTACTCGCGCGATTTAAAGTTTAAAGTGATCGTACAGATGGTAAATAGCAAGTATCATATATAAGAGACTTGATATTTTCACATTACGCGAGGTAGATTAACACACGGTGGTTTGCGGATTTCGCATCTATCTTATCATAACGAAGAGCAATATCGTTAGGAGATTTTCCACGATAAGTAGAGACACGATGACGCTAATCGTTGAGCTAATCTACCTGGACGCGTAGATTATGAGAGATGCGAATAGCGGTCTTCCAGATTACGACTTGAAATTATCCATAAACACGCGAGCCTCCTAGGAGTTCCGGCGCGCGATGCAGATGCAGATGCAGAAAACGCGCAAAGAGAAATGATGGGCTTTAATTAAACGAATTTCATAATATGTTCTCGCGTAACACGGCCGTGATAAGGATTATTCGGGCTCACCAACGTAGTGCGGTCGAGATATTTTTTTTGGCGCTATAATGCAGTACCGAGAGTCGTTCAGACTCTCCCTGTCGCCATTGTGGCCGCGAGGGCACGATTAATTATAGCGTATCCACAGAAGGAACGCATTGTTGCGTCTGTATTGTTGAATGCTCGCGTTGCATATACCTCCTGGCTATGTATCTCGATACTCTCATGTGTTTCGCGATCATTTTGAAAATAATCAGTCTTAAAAAGTTTTAAAGGGCAATGTTCAACACGTTTCGTTTCTTTAATTAATCGGAGATAACGAGTTATAGATTATAGATATTTATAGAACTTCCTCTCCGAAAAATAAAAAATATTGGAATATTTAGAACGAGGCATGTCATTTACTTAGAGAAAAACAACGGTAGCGACTATAAAGGCGACAAATATAAGAATTTCATATGTAGAATCAATGTATACATATAAAAAAAAAGTTGAATAAACTATTTTACAGTTATAGTAATTATAAAATAGTTTATTCAACTGTGTGAATTAACTCCACAAATAAAACTTGTATAATTATCATCTATATTTATAGTTGCTATCATTATGTCTTTCTTTGAGTGTTCGTTTATTGTAGGAATTACATGAAAAATGATAAGACAATCACATTTTCAACTAACAAAAATAAATTCACATTGTATCAATTATTTGATAGCGAGCTTTATTGCTCTTTATGAAGAACACAATTTCCAATAGTAGGATTTCCTTTATTCGCATTTTTCTCAGAGCGCGTGGCAACTAGAAACTTGGAGAATCAAGTGTTCTAAAGTTATTTTTATATATATATAGTACGTACAGTGAGACACGTTAGGTGAACGCGAGTATTCTCATATGTTTCAAAGAGTGTTCGGTTGATTGTATGTATATGTGTGCGTAAGCACAGGTGAGTTAAAGGTAAATGAAACGCGCGCGGGAGAATCCCGAGGCGAAGCGAGAGAATGCGTCTTCGTGGGTTCGTGTCTCGACGTGAGGAACAATCGGCTTCGCTTGAAAAGGTAATTAAGAGAACACGTCGGCGACGATTAAACGATTCTCCGCCGAATCGAGCGAGACGAATTAATTCCGCCGTCGATCGGGAATCGATAAACGATTGAAACTGATACATCGCCAAGACCGAAACCTATTTAGTACTTGAACGATAATCCTTCACGTGATATGCGAATACAATTTCTCGAACGAATTTCGTATGCTATTATATTCAGTGTTACCAGAAATATTTCCCACAATTTATTATACGACAAGGTAAAGACAATTTTATTGTGAGCATTAACTTCGTTTGCCGTAATGCGTGTCTTCCGTTTCCCGCTAAAAAAGAAATACTTTTGTTATCCTGATTACTTTAGCACACGAATCAGACAACGAAGTCAACGAAGTATATAGATATAACAAGCAGTCCATTAAATTTAGCCATTAAAAACACCATCTGTGATTGGTCGCTGTATTGTGCGCTGTCTATGTTTATTCCATCCCTTGTATATAGAATAAAAGTCAGAAAATAATATAATAAAATGCTCACCAAGATATTTCGTGCGAATATCGTACGTATTTTGCTGAGCATGATCCGCCGGCTTCACGGCACGGAATTCTGCAATTTTCCATAATCGAGGCACGCACGTGAAAACGAGACCTCATTTGCGCGCGGCAAGCATGGAAGGATACTGGCTGAGAACGGTGAGGCGGCGGACGCTTAGAGAACGCGAACGGATGTAGCCGAGGGCTGACTGGCAACCCCGAACGTCAAATTACGGGGCACCTGCTCTTCAAAACGACTTCATTTCATTCTTATCGTGTAGGCATTTCAAATCTGCCGTGCGGCTTCTCCTCTCGGTAATGTCTACAATCATACTCATGAAAATACCCGATTAGATTCCGAATTAACCCTCTAATGCGTTAGAATCTCGCGTAGGACGCGCCCAAGTCTGCTTCTGTGCAGCAGTTAAAATACATACAAGTCACATTATTTCTTATTGCTTTATATTTGTTAATCGGAAACTTTGTCGTCAATTTAAAATCGATTTTTTTTTTCTTACCTTAAAATGTCGAAATTGTTTACCGCAATTTCCCAATTTCCAGCTTCATTTTCAATTCATTACAATTCATGTTATTTTTATTTCTTACATGAACTATCAAATTTAATGCAAGGTTGCTTTTGCTATATGCAATCTTATCCCATCAATGTAGTTGCAGTAATTTGAACAGAACGATGTTTTATGCGTTGCCGCCGATCACTCACATAATGTAGGTCTGAAATTTCGCTTCCCCTTCTCTGATTGACATGAACGGTGGCAGAAATAATGGGGGTCCATTTTTTTTTTGCCTAGTACTGGTTGACTTTCGCAGGAACGTCGGGGCGGCATCAATTTATATCTCAACGTGTTATTACTGATTGGAAACCGCAACGCGCGATTCTTCGTGCGCGGTATCATTACGTTTTTGCTTTACGTTTACCGAGTGGAAATCGAACGTCACGCCTGAGCCGGTACTATAAGATACTCAAAATATCCGAGTGCCATCTTAGGCAAAAGTGAACACATAAATTTATCAATATTATAACGAACGTAATTGTGCATTCAGTTGCGGTTATGATGGCTAGTAATTCGATTATTTTTATCAAGATCATACTTTCTAAATTAAAAGAGTTAAAATGCTGCCATTATTGAAAACAAGTTAAATAGAAGTGGTAGATTTTCACTCTTTTTTTTTTGGAGTGAGATTCATTCTAAAAGAAACAAATCCCACTCCTTTTCTTGGAGTGAATCTCACTCTAAAAAAAAAGCGAAAATCTGCCACTCTTATTCAAGAGTGCAAATTTTTCACTTTTTTTTTAAGAGTGGAGTGAGATTTTACTCCAACGGAGAGGAGGTGTTTTGTTGATTTCTTGAAAATAGTGCATGAAAATAATGCTAATTGTGTATTAATTCCATCGACACGATTTTCTCTGGTCACTTACCTGTCAACCGGTTTATCTTCCGCTTGTCTTACAATGTTAAAAAAGTATCAAGACGTTGAATACCTAGTATTTTATTAGCACGTAAAAGCAAAGGAGAACGCGCCGCGATGCCGATCGATTCGCGTCGCTTGATCCGTCGATTCGCGTGTCTCGAAAGTCGATTGTCTTAACAGGACCACAAAGTGTGGCGACAAAGGAGTAAGTAGAGCGTTACTGAGCAAGAAATTCATTTTATTCGGAACCGGTCTCCGATACATCCGCCGGTTAAACAACACTTTTATCAAACGTGATCTTTTCAATTCCTCTTGTACGGACAAAACTTAAAACTGAGCACCGTAAAACACTTTCTTGAAGAAACTTTCGAGTCACGACGACAGTGACGAAAAATTTCACACTTTCGTCCCCACTGATCTCACCTCCGTTCATTCCTACTTTTTATTACAAGGACAATTTCCTCGATTTAAATTATAAATACTACGCAAAGACTCTCCTCGTTCACAAACAGAGCGAACGCATGTCGATATAATTGTCTATTTCAAGCTTCTCGTCACTTGTTTTGAAAAGATCATATCTTAAATATAATCCGAAGGCACTGTGTTCTCGTTGATTGCCGCTAGTCTGTACTGCGGCGTGTCCAGATTCTGTGGATTTAAGTGCAAGTTTGTTGTCGTTGTTATCGTCGTCGTCGTCGTCGTTGCTGTTGCAGACGGTACTGTCGCTGTCGGCATCTGCTGATTCGCCGAATTCGAGCTGAGATCGCTATAATAGGCACTGCTGGGAGCACTGCTCAGCGTTGGCCCATCCGGTTCGGCGTCACTTCCGGTGTAGGCCGTGTTCTGGTATGACGGATGCTCACCATTTCTGCTACCGATCCTCAATTCCTGATGATGATGGTGATGGTTGTGGTGATGATGATGGCGATGATGATGTTGATGTTGACCTGGTGGTACTGGCGTTGACGGTCCATTTTCGTACATCTCGTAGTCTGGCTCTTGTATCCTGGAAGTAGTCAATAATAAGACTCTGGATAATCATTGGATGATTATTTGACTGGAATGTACCATTAACATACGTAAGAGGTATCGACCGTATCTGGCCGTATCGACCAATAACTGGCGATTACGCGGCGACGCGTGTCGGATGAGCGCGTTGTTAGAACGGGCAATTAAGCTCTCTCAGAAGGCGTGCCAGAACAAAGTCAGTATTGAGTTCGTTATCGATATAGGAAGTCGAGAAACGATAGACCATTGCGTATGATTACTGACTTCCGATTTCGAGATCGCCATGTGCCTCATTAATCGATTTAAAAAATCAATTAACAAATATTTTTTTCTAATAACAATTTTATGGATATAACGATTATACAATTTATTTATCTTTTTAAAATTTAAATTCATTAATTTAATGTTTCTAATGTAATTCTTTTATTTAAGACGACCAACACATAGTTCTTCTTGTACAGTTTTGCTGAAGTATCTAAAAATTTAACTAGATATATAGCTCTGAAATTAATTTTATTGGACCATTAAAATAATGTAAGACGTTCAAGCTGATTGCTAAAATGTCAAAACTTTTTGCAGCATTACTCATCATACTTGAGATTCCTACGTAATTGTTTTGATGGTTCAATAAAATTATTTTTGGATCCGTATGTATCCTAAATTTTTAGATACTTCAATAAAGTCGTATATTTAATAACTTCTATAAATCTGGAAGCATTTAATTCACCTTTTACTGTGTCGAGTACGAAGTGTATCTGTCTGTAGCGATCCGTCGCTACCTCCATAATGACGATGTAATCTGGCAGCGTCCAGTTCGTGATATTCGTCGTCCTGGCCGCCGGAAGTCGTACCGTACGTCGAGCTTCCTCTCATTTGTAACTGTAGATCGCTCGCGTAGCTCGCGGCCTGCGAGTCCAGTTCCGCGTATAGAGCCTCGTCGGTTTGCATGTGGGTGTAGTGATTCTCGACTGGGAGATTCATCGCTCGTCGATGCTGAGGAAGGGAGAGCGGTGTCGTGACGACTCCCGGGGTGCCACCGCCTCGTCGAGAGCCCAGCCACGACCACACGTTGTGCCCTAAAGTTCGATTTCATCCACAACTTGAGACCCATGCTGATTAGTATATTTTCTTAAGATATCTTGGCAGCATGTTAATGATAAAAGAACAATCACTGCAGTCTTAAAGAGTCTGTTCTGTTCAGTTGAATTTCTTGCACAATTCATCTTTTCTCTCTGTTTCTTTTCGTGAAAAGAAAGAGAGAAAAGATGAATTGTGCAAGAAGTTTAGCTAACAATAAAAATAATAGGCCTATGAGTGAGCCTAATGTGATTTTATCTAAACAAATAAGAGGTAAAAAAAAGAATTGTGTTTTTTTGTAAATTGTTTTGTTTTATCAGTTAAGTTTTATTTTTCAAACACGAATTCAATTTCTTTCTGAAAGATACACAGAAAGAGCGATGGATCTTTTTGCTTAAGTATATCTCAAAATTTAGTTAGATGTAGATCTGAAAATGATTTGGTTGGACTATTAAAATTTAAAATAATTATACAGGGTACTCAAATTGGTTGCTGGAATGTTAAAACTTTTTGTGCTATTGCACATCATACTTGAGTTTCCTATATAATTATTTTGATGATCCAACAAAATTATTTTCAGATCTATATCTAATTTTCAGACTTAAATTTTTAAATACTTTAGCAAAATCAATCTTTCCGTGTAATTATCAACTATACAATATATATGCTTGATTTATGGGCTCATTTTCATTCTTTTTCTTATATTCAATATTTTGATCAGCAATATCTTATTACAAGATACGAGTTTGTTTCATAATATAAGAGATTTTACAGAGCTAGTTGAAAACATCGTTGAGAACAAGTCACGAGATCCGGTTCTATAAGCTTTAACTTTCTTTCTCGAACAAAATGAGACGTACAGTTAGTGAGAGACGGTGCTACCGCGTTCGCGATCGCAATACATGTAACGTGACGGGAACATGCGAGTAATGAGCGGCCATTTCTCAATGATCTCTCTCGACGGCGCGTACGCATATGTATGAGAAGCGTCGAACAGCAGGCGTCTCGTAATAACACTCACCGGGACTAGGCGCTACGTCGTGATAAGGCGGTAATTTGTCTAATTCGAGAGGCGGTCGATCGGGTATGACAGCCACCCCGCCGCCTGTACCACCCGCCCCCGTAGGCCCACCAGCATCGGGCACGCTCGAATCCTCCACGCCGACACCGCAGCAACTCGCTGGAACAGAAAAGGGAAGGAAGACTCACACACACGTTACTCATTGCTCTGGAAAAATTCGTTGGCGCGTCAATGCGAAAGTCGCTTAGCTCGGGTTTCGCCTAGTTCCCGTTTCTCAGGGCATCATCGCCCTTCGTTCGGTTACAGAGATCCGCTCGATCCGCTTGAATCCACGGGACGCGTTTCTCGCGCCGAAGCACGTGAAGTGCCAGGTGAGGTTGGCCCTGAATTCCGATACGTTTACGGCCCCCACGTGCACGTATACACCCCATGCGCAAATATAAATAACTGCCCCCATATATAGAACGGTCGGCGACCGAACCCGAATCACCGCATTATGACGTGCGCTCGCGTATAGAGAAAAAAAACCGGCTGTCTTCTGTATGGCCTTATTGTGAGCCTGTCATAGTGCCGTCACGGGCCTTCATAGAATCGCACCGAGGGTTGTAGCATCATATCAGAGGGTGGGGCGGGTGGTTGAACTGGGATAGGGGAGAGAAAAAGAAGAGTGGGTGAAAGGCGGAGAATGGAAGAGAAGCAAGAAAAGATCTTGAAATTTGTGGATCAGAAGTGCCGCCACAGCGGTAAGTGGGCTCATAAGAGTGCTGTGGAGGTGGAAAAAAAATGAGATTATAGGAATCTCGTTCTCTTTCCGTATTATACTTTTTTTCTCTATCGCTTTCACCGTGAAAATGATCTTACGTATTTCTTCTAATTCCTATTATACCTCGAAGACCTCTCGCTTATTCTGAAAAGCGCGTTGATGTCACTCGTCGAGATATAAAGAATCTCTGATTCGTAAGTTATTCTCGCACGGATTAAACGGATTCATAATCCTTGATGAAAGGTGTGTAGGATACTATTTTATTTAAACTTCTCTGAAGAAGCTCTCTGATCACAAAAGTGATCGTAATAACAAGCTTCTTAATGAAATGATTGATGGATGCGTTAGAAATCGTTGGTTACTCGACTCGAGCGCACTTTCGCTGCCTTACGTTTTCATGAACTTTCGATTGATAACTTTAATCTTGACACGTTCGAATTTTTTAGATCTATTTGCCCTACAGCCATATTATTTCTATAAATTACTTTCGCTTTCAACATTTTTAATAAAGAATATAAAATATTTTGAACTTGTTTTCACCGATTAATCAAATCTTTAAATTTGTCTCTTACCTATTTATTAATTAAGTGATCTTCGGAAAATAAAAATATTTAGTTCCTGAAGGCTAAGATTTTTGAATAATAAAGATATTTAGTTTTTTCTCTTTCACATGCATAACATTGAAAGGTTTTAATTTTACTTTTTTTTATTTATAATTATTTTATGATTTTCTTGTCAAATAGTTGACTAACAGATTACTCAGTTCGTTGTAAAATTTATGATTCTAGATATTCTATTTCTGTAGCGCCTAGCTTCGTTAAAAAGCCATTAGCTCGAACCGGTATAGCATATTTTGTACCCTTTTATTACTGCCTCAATCTGACGCGATTAGAGTAGTAATAATAAAGAGGGAAATCCGTTATATCTCTACAATTACGCGTGACTATTCTGTTTAATGCTGCCAGTTTGCTCGATGTCATCGATTAATGTCCAAATGAAAATGCATAATCGCATTTATTTAATAACAGTACATTGATCTTGAGCACGATTACAATTTGCGATTTAACATTCCGTTACTAATCTGCTTATTGCGGAAATGGATCAGGCACACGACAATTTATCCTCCTGTCATTTCGCAACGGTATTGAACCAGTTCTCGTTGCGATTTAACCAGTGTGACAAAATTCCGATTCGATTGTATGTACCGTGATACGTTTCTTATCACTTAAAGCAAGTTTCTGATCATTTTTCCTTCTCCATTAATTTTACTCAGTTCTTACATACAACGATGCGTTTTATTTTTTTGAATGTTCAATATCTTAATAGATTTTTTATTTTTTCTTATTAGATTTCTTGTTTTTTTTTTTAAACAAGAATCACTACCAAATATTTTTAATTATAAGATAGCAAGCTATTAGTGTTCGTATTATTATCACAGCATATATAGGGTACAACTTTAAACATGGTACAATTTTGAACGAAATAAAATTTAAATTCAATTTTTGAAGTTCAACCCTCTCGTTGTATGGAGGACACTAAAGGATACCAAAAGGGAAAAAAATCAAATGTGAACTTCAAAAATTAGATTTAAATCTTATATCATTCAGAATTGTACCATGTTCAAAATTATATCATCACATATAATTATATCATCTTACCCTAAACTTTATTAGTATAATGATATAACATAAAAAATGTAGGACATCTTGCTCAACTATAATCTGCAATAAGCAGATTACAGTTGAGCAATTAGCAGCGAAAATATATTCGCGCGTATGTAGGCAGCTTTGGATATTCATCTCACTTGCGCGCTTACAATGTAATTTTTATCTTCTGAACGAATTTAAATAATCGAATCTGTTCGTTCTTCAAGACCGTCATTCTTTCATACCGTCATCTGCAGCATATCTATTATCAGAATAGCTAGATAGAATATTAATTGGGCGATACATGAAAAGTGTGGCGTCGGAGAACATGTCGTGACGACGGGGGGCAAATGTTACGCTCTTTCGTCACGATCAGATAGCTAAAGGCTTGCGTAGAACTCATTTCCTGCCTCTCATTGCTGTTGTGTCACGTGTAAGATATCGTGCGACAAGAATTTAATATAATTTATTACAATTTTTGTTCGAAATTTATATTCATATAAATCATTTTAGATACTTTCCCCATTGTTTAAATACAGTGAACATTTTAGATTAAATATGTATATTAAAATTTATTCCAAGCGAAGATTCATTCCAAAACCTTTTTAAAAAATCTTAAATATTCTGAAGAATAGTAATTTTTTAAAAAGATTTTGGAATGAATCTTGGCTTGGACTAAGTTTTAATAAGTTTTTCTGTTACATATTTTTATTATTTAATATTAAGAATTGTTCAAAATCTAAAATGAAATCAATTAAAATACTAAAATTAATTAAAATTTTAATAAAACTAAGTCTACTTGAAATTACAATGAAAGGAGTAAAAGATTATAAAAGTATTGTTTTACACAGTATAAATATTTATAGCCAAGTTATTCTCTTCATTTAATTAATTATACGTGACTCGCATATTATTAATCTAGTCATGTAATTTAATGAAACTGTTGTAATGTACTTGATATAAAATTTCGATTTATATGACAAAAGATTCTAAATATGATCGTGCGTGTAATAAAATTGTACATGTTGAGCATATAGCAGCTTGGTTCTTTGACGTATTATACATCGACTGATCCAAAATATCGTTCCAGTCGATGTGCGATAAGCCGATTAACGGATTCGATTCACCTTTTCTACTCAACTCTTCGATCGTCATTGTATCCGGAGGATCGCACAGCAATTTAACGTGTATGGAATGGACCCTCCGTTCTTTTTTGCGCGAAAGCAACCTCTTTCAGCCGTCCATTAACGCACTGCTCATCCGGTGGCACTTAAAGCAATTCTTATGCATGGAAGAATGTACTATTAACGAACTTTCACTAATTTATTTTTTGCCCGACAGGATATTCAATTATCTGTAATCTTGTAAATTGTCGGCATGATAAAGCTATGTTTCTTAAGCTCCGGTTTAGTTAAGCCCATTATTGATTTAAATTGCGAATTTGTTAGTTTTATAATTCTAAAATTACACATATGTATATCCAAAAGAAATACTGGCAACATTAAAACATTTTCAATGAATAGCCTTATAAAGAAAACGTAATATAAATACGAATCTAAAGAATAGATACAAAATATTTATTATAAATTAAATATTAATTGACTTCCATTATAAAACACAAACAAATACAAAGTGTTCTATAATTATATAGTATAATATCTGAGGGGCTTATTCTGAAAATTAATTATCGAAAACAGTTTTCATGCGTATTTGTTCACTTTAAATAAGAATCTTAGAGATAGGGGTAATAGAGAGAAATGTTAAATTATCGGTTTATTGTTTATATAATTAATAATTTCTTTAACAACACTCTGATAAAAATGTGCAATTTTCTTAGTTCATTCAGTTACTGTTTACTATATTCTGATTAGTTGTAACAATATTGCGTAAGAAATAGATAAGAATTTGATAGAGTTTTATTCAATGACTGAAGTTTTCCTGGTACAAATATGTGTAATTTGCGTAAAGATCTGCCCAATTATTATCTAGTATTAATATAGATTATTATTAATTAAAATACTGTGTAATCGGTTTATTGTCTGTTTTTGTTCAGTACGAAGTGTTTCATCTTGATTGGGACTCTAGTTTTACTTTTCAGTTACTGGACAGAATTAATACAAAATAACTATTATACTAAAAAGTGCATGAAATTTCTATCAAGGTTAGAATTATGGATATATCTTACATGAAATATTCAAAACGCGATACAAGTGTAATTTATCTATAAGTGTGATTTATCCGTTTCAAATTGAAAATACATAATATTACGCGATTCATCAATATTAGATTAATTAGTTGTACAGATCATTCACGTGATTTATTCATTTGTATTGGAATAAAAGTAAAAACAAATGGGAATTATAAACTTTCTTTATTGTAATAATATTACTTTTATAAAAACACGTAACATTATCTGTTGATTACTTACACATGATTTGGTTTATTTTCAGGTTGAAAAAAATGGAGCAATGACCTGCCAACAGTGTCAACAGTGTCAACAGTGTCAACAGTGTCAACAGTGTCAACAGTGTCAACACGAGTGATTAAAATAACCGTGACATATCGATCGTTTAATAATAATTTCTCGCATATTTCACGAATTACGCGTCGCATACAATTAAGTTCGGGAGTGTCGCGCGATCATAATTAATTATGTCCCTTGAGTGTTGTGTATGCAACGAAGGAATTTGAGAGGAAGAGCAGATCTGGGAGACATCGGGGAGTCAACGGAGCAACTATGAGGTAAATGATTCATTATTTATTATTTTATTTGTTACTTTTACCTAGAAATAAACGCGCGAATACTGTATTTTAGTATATTAATTTTTATTCAGAAGTTTTATTCAGTAATTTTCACTCAGAAATTAATTGATATTTTCATATTATATAATAATTTTTAATTACATTTAATCTTTATAAGAATACGTAATTAAAATATATAAGTCATTCATGTGATATTCTGCGCATAAATTGATTATTTTGATGACGTTAGATCTTTGATGGTAGATTTTGGAAAAAATTTTTTGAATAAGATACATATATTTTGTGTATATATGTATCTACATCTGCACATACATTTTATTTAAATCAATATTTTTGCAAGGTCTTACTTTTGCTACAGGAAAGTAAGTCGTTTATGAACATTAAAATCACTAAAAGATCTTTTTATTCTTTATATACACTTGAATTTTATTTTATTATTGAGAAATTTTCTCTTTTACGTTATTACGCGATTAACAGACCCTATTGTTTTAAGAGGTAGCAATAAATCACCCCGTCTTAACGTGTAATTGTATCTTGGTTGTTTGTGCAACCTTTCTTAGCAGTTATCTGTTCTAAAACCGGATTAGAGAATTCGTCCCTGGGGCGAGAACAACGAAATTACGCGTTTATGCAGGTTGCAAATTCAAATTGTTCCGTGCGGACCACCTTGAATGATCATTTTTATGCGAAGGGAATAAAAATTAATAATGTTGTCATTAACAAAAATTTTTACTTCGGTTTAATTGTGATCAATTAAAACAAAATTTTCAGAATATATTCATTTTGCTTACATACATTTTTTTTAAATGCTTATAGTACGAAAAAGTGCGATAATAAAAAATATTGATAATTTAAAAAAAATGTTGATCTCTAGTTTTAAATATTTTAAAGTTTGATAAGAATATCTTTTTAAATGTTCCATATATTTTAAATCGTATCAAAATAAACTTTTAAGTGATGGTTTGTAATCGAGATAGTTTTAGATACTATTGTTAGATTTTGTCTAAGGTTGGCACAAATCACGTCACGAAAATCCGATAGTGATTCAAGAGGTTCAATGAAACGAGTGTCGGATAATTAATTCGGGTGATCCCTACATCCCAGGCAGTATCCTCTTCTATCTTTCCGCTCGCTCATCGTCTTTTTACGTCTGCCGTCGTTCGCTCGTCGATCGTATCGTGCCGCGGTTGATTTTAAATCAGAAAGTTAATTAGACGCGTTTCGTCGTGTTTAATGTCGCCCAGCCGCAGCCATCCGTCCGTCGCGTCACATCGCATCACGTCGCATCGCATCGCATCGCTCGGTTATATCCTTTAAGTACGACAGAGAACATGCAGCACACGGTTTATATCGCTGTGAGCGGTTTGCATTATGCGAACTAATTAAACTCCAATCGATGCCGGCACTCGATGCCATGACGGTGTTGCTCTCTTTCCTTTTCACGCCAACGTGTCCATCGTCACACGTCGTCAACCCACCGTCGTGCATGCATATGTTCTTGCACTCTGTTTGTATGAGAGATCTCCGCGTAATGCGGGGTTCACTCTTTTCGTTCTAATCCTTTCATCGTCTGGAATCATGACTTTGTCGTATGTGAGACGACGTCGTGAGTCTACCTCCGTGAACACGAACTAGAGAAGTTTATTTCTTGATAAGATACACGGTACATTAAGAGCGTGTCTCACGTTTTCGAAGTGTCACGTTTATCGATTCAATTGATTGTTGCCCTATTTTTTTCGGACTCAGACAAAGTATTATAAACGTACTATAGACGATACTCTATTTTATAGCTCACGCAATAAGAGATCAACATGAGATAGTTTATTCAATATTTTACGTTACTAGGATTCAATAATATCTTTTCGCTTAAAGTTAATTATTTCAGACGCAAATGTTCGTGTATAATGTATATAATTACAATATTATGACTGCTAAATTCGAGCAATGTAATTGAATTTAACAGTCACACACAAGTACGCAAACTTCTAGATATGATGCGTCTGCCTGAAACGCAGCTAACTTTAGAAAAGAAAATAGCATTATTGAATCGCAGTCTATTATGCCATTAAGGACACTTCTGTATATTTAACATCGTAATGAAAATGTCAAGTTAATAAAATTAATTAGTATCATAAATAGTAAGTAATATCGCAACGCTGATATAATTTTTCATACTACATATCTTTTCGATTCGTATCATTTTGATGTCATTTTTTTAGGAACGTTTTCTATCTTGCAGTTTTTTTTTCTTGAAGTTTATGACATGACAAAGCGTTCTTGAAGATATCTTTTGTGGGGTCTCTTATAAAGCATATTCAAGATGGTATTATTGTGAATGTATATGTCGTATATTAACGCATGATGAAGAAACTAACGAATAATAGGGACCTGCGAGTAGGTAACTCAGGGGAACTCGGATAATTGGGAATCATTTCGAACCTGACCCTGTCAGAGTGAATTCACCGCGCCGAACATGGTATGTTAATTCGACATAATTGGGAAGCTAGCCTGCCTCTCGACAGTAAACTCAGACCTCCCTTTATTCCCTAATCGTAACCCTATGTGTCAAGAGTTTCTTTGAAATTGATGAATTATTTTTATAAACTGATTCACGTTTGTATGACAAGATTTACTTCATACAGATCTACGTTATATTATGTACGTTAAAAATCTGGCTGGTATTCATAGTCCAATCTTATCTTTGAGACATTGTATATATTTTTCTTATTTTTGAGTATAATTTTAAGATGTCATAAACCAGTCACAGAATATTAATCTTTTAAGAGATTACTTAAGTCAATTGCAATCTTGAAATAAGAATGACTAAGACTTAAGCCAATTATAATCTTGAAATAAGAATGATCATGAATATCAACTTATGAGTGAAAGGATATATAACCGATCAGATATATAACATTTCGTGAAGTTTTACGAGGAATGTATATCTTGACGAAACTTTGCTTACCTCTGCCACCAGCACTTTTTATCCTGTAACAGATTAAATAGAAATTTCGATGAAATCATGAGAAATATTTGTTATTAATTATTTTATAATTATTTTATAAAGCTAATTATGATAATAATAACACTTGATTTTTTTGAGAAATTAATTACTTCAAAATAACGAAAAAGCAAGTGGGAATATTTCAGTGAACATAAGTCAGCAATGATTATTCATACATGTATTGGGATAATCAATACATTAAAAATGAATGCTCTTATTTAAATAAATTATTCCATATGATCATTTTTTTAAGTAAAAATTATAAGTGAAAAAACATGCAAGTTAGGAATCAAGTTTAATAAATCATCTAGTATGAGAAGAACGTAAAGAAGGATGAGATTGCGATCACGAAAACCCTCGTTTCCTGGCTACCCAGGAATTCTAATCGAGATCTGACCACAGTCATGATTCTTTCGTAATGGTGCTCGTGTACCATTTCCTTCCTCTCTTCCCACCCTTTTGAACATCCCGTTAGTCTGTCACTTGCCGGATTCGCACCGAATCAATCTAGTTAGCGATCGCTTCATCCTCGTTCTTAGTGTCGATCGACTCTTTCGATTACGTATCGCCGGTAGGTGGTAATTTAAGAGAATCAACCGCGTGCAGCTGTAAGATGAAACCGCGATCGTTTCGCGAATCTGTCGGCGCGATGATCCGTATCGTAATGCTTGACCGTTCTTCACGAAGCTTTCGAGAGAAGCATCGTCTCCCTAAAAATTGCACTGGATAGCATGCAATAGAATTTCAATTTAAACGGCCATTAACTCTGATTGATTTTATTCAGCAATAAGTAAATTTAACGAGAAAGAATTAGTTAATTCCGTATCAAGGCAAGCTTCGATCGTTTCTCTTTTCTCACTTATATATTAATGAAAAATATGTGCTTTTTGAAAAGAAAAATACTAACCTTCGACAATGGAGAAGAGTCATCATCACTACTGCACCGATACCAGCTGATACTAAAGACACTATCACAAGAGTCAGCACCCATCCAAGTTCTCCAGGAGCTTCTGTAAAGAAAATTCAGAAGTTATAGGTTTAATATAGCCAAAATTTTTTATTACAACTGTATTGAAACAGTATGATAAATTATGATTTGATTTTTATCTTATAAATTCACATTTATCATAAAAGAACACAAAGTTTCTTTAAAATTTAGTAGTGTAAGATATACAATCTTACAGCAAGAAATATCAAAAAATATTAAGAGCTAGTCAGAATTTGTAGATTTCTATATTTCAACGATAATAGATGTGGAGTATAAGTGTATAAATCTGTTGTCGCTAAAAAATCTGACACTTAAAGAATGCGTCGACTTGTCGCCGTTTTCGGTTTTAGTCCCACCGCATTGTCGTAATTTCTTGAGGCAAACCCGGGCCCTGGGCCTTTGCCAGGCTTTATATATATATATATATACATGGGCAACACATCATATAAATCGACTCTCGAGATCTTCGCACAGTACGCGCGGGCGCCCCATAATTGGCTCACAGTCTCATCCGGCGCGTCCCGTTTCCGCACAGCGGGACATCCGCAGGTTTATTAGGCGTCCTTCGCTATTATTCCTGCCACACATCTACCGAAAGCATTCTGCGTCCCTTACCTATCCCACTTATCCCCATTGAAATCGTTTCATCTCGGATGTGCACCAGCAGCGATCTCGCGCACTTAACGAGGCCTGAGATTATCGTCCGTGCGAACGTAATTAAGAGAATCGCACCGCAAGTTTATTACGAAGAAACGGCGGCCGCGAGCGAGCATATGATGGAGACGATGGAGGTAGGTTCTTCTCGGTACGGATCAACCGATTAGTCGGAGAATTGTTCTTCGGGCGCGACCGGCGGCGATTGAACGATTCGCGGTCCACCGCCGATGATTTCTCGCAGCCTCCGCGTCTGAAGAGTACTTACACATTTGCCGAACCATTCCCGACCAGTTCTCGGTTGTTTGCATAGCCGTTCCTCGCTGAAACGCGAGCTTCGAATGAGATAACTGCGCGCCACCGAACGATTTCCTTTCCTCACTCCACGCTCATTAGTCGGGTCTTATGGTTCGTCGTGTTATCGTGAAATATCTTAAACCCGTGCAGAATGTTTCTGATCGGTCTTTATTCAAGGTCTTAATCACAATGATTCCCTCCGATGCGACTTTAAACATTGAAATGGAGATTAGCGACGAACGCCCGCGGAATTACAAACGAGAGAACGGGATAATTAGGTCCCGCTGATCGCAGGATTATCCATGAAAAGGACGCCGTAATGCGCGCTTCGCATCGCTCCAACCGACGCAACGACTTCGTTCGCATCTTTGCTCGTTGCAGCGACATTAATCGCGTGCAGTTTTCGAATTCCGTCGAGCAGTGCTTCTATCTTAAGACCGTCCTAAGTATGCTCGTTCGGAGAGGTAGATTCATTACGCTCTTGTCACACGGCTTTCCATGCCGTCGGTCTACCTACGCATACGTGAGTTTATATATACTTCAAGTTGTCGACACTGTAATCGCTCAGGGCCCGGCGAGCTTGGAAAAGGGACTTCCAAAGGAGAGGAAGTCGTTCAAGAGAGAAGGAGCCGCCCGTGATCGAGAGCTGGTACTCGACTCTGCATACGAATGCGCCGTTAATGCTGCTTCTTCACGATTGTAAGGTAGTTCAGGTAGCGATAGGGGGATGTTGGACAGGCCGGCAAACTTTTGGAAGCTAATAATTTTGGACAACGTCCGTAATTAAGCATGATTAAACAAGAAAGTATTTTTAGGGAAGAGATTTTTTTGCGAGGAATTTATAATTCAGAAAAAGAGTTAAACATTTCTGAATACGAAGTTATTTTATCATTTTATGAATGATTTAAAACATTAAGCTGTCTTTCTACATCCAATTTTGAAATATAAATAAATATTCTCGATTAAATTGTCTTATTTTTAAATTATCATTAATATTTTTGGTTAAATTATTTTAATTTTGTTAATACCTAAGATTCTTTCGTTTAAATAAAATTCATGAAACTAAAAGATATTTCTGAATAAAATTAATTTGTTCTTGTAATAGACGAATCGAAAATTGGGCTTAGAGTGGGGTGCGTTTAACACGTCGACACGTATCTTCGAATTAAAGGCAACAAGTTACATTGCGACTAGAAAGTCAAAAGGAAGGAGCGAAAGAGAGGAGAAATGGTAAAGCCCGTCTATCAGTGTCACGTTCTTGACGTGAACGTAACAGCGTGCACGCTGCGGTTGATAACGCTTACAAGAGAGTTATCAATCATCCCACGCCAAGATTGACCACCTAGACCAATGCGTGTTAATGTCGGCCAGCATGCGCGAGTTCCCTGTTACAGTTATCTCAGTAAATTGTTTTGATCTATGAACAGACCGAGCTAGTTAGGTAGTCTCTTCAACCTGTATATCAGAGTTAATATCTTTTGTGAATCTTCTCTCTCATTAGCAACTGAAATTTTAATGATGTAGAAATTACGTTTAACTGTATATCGCATTTTTTCTTTTTTATTTTGGTTGATCAAGTGCAAACGTTTAGCAAGATATCTCTTCCGTAATGTATTAGATCTTATCTTAACTCTCTCCCGGCAATGAACTTTAAAGGCATAGTTAATTTTTTGTTTGTTTTGTTGTATTCTGCGCATGTATTATAAAATTATTCGAAATGGATTCCGGTAGGAATTATTCCATTTTTTAATTATATTTACTTATATATATATAAACAATTATATTTATTAAGATCTGTCAGTGATTCAGTTGATCGAATGATTGTATTGATGTAACGTACACTTTTTTCAGTATCATGATCATATAAAACGCAATTTATCTCTTCTCCCTTGTAAGAAACCGCGATCATCCGCCACTGTTTTCGCGATCGGGCTGACCGCAACATCTGCTTCACCTCTTACATATTATCCACGATCGCGGTTTAATATACGATGGAGGCTTAGTGTACACTCGCTTCATCGCTTTACCGTTTTATCGTTTTAAAACCGATCGACTGTTAGACATAAACGAAAATAAGAACGAAGCGATAAGCTTCTTGCTTGAAGTCATAACTTCTCTCATAGATGATACTATACGATCATTTAATCTCGTTAGATTCTATTGCGATCCGTTGGGAATGCGCGGTTAAAGGATAGTCGTATTCCTTGAGCAATTTTAATCACATACGTGAGATTTAAAAAGCAGAATAATATATGCAACAGACATTAGTAATACTATAAGATTAAGATCATTAAATACATTATAATTGTATTAATCTGGAGAAACTTTTGCCAATTTACAATATGCCAATATCATTTGATCATATTAAATGAGAAATCGATATGTTCGTCTTTATTCTGGACATTTTTCCTTTTTCTCTTTAAATATTTCAATTTTATTAAGTGATAATTGAAATTTATATTTCACGCCCTTGACAAAATTTACTTTTAACGAAGTTAAAGTTTTTAAAAGTAATTAAGAGTTTACTTAAAAAATTTTGAAGTAATTTAAGTGTGTAAAAGGTTAAGTCAGAATAATCTAAAATTTTTAAAGTTTTTCAAGGATGACTTTAATATAATCATCACGTCACACATCGCGTTAGTTTCTTTCTGTTGTTCTTAAGTAAGTTTTAAAGTTGCTTTAAAAAAAAGTTTAAAGTGTTCAAATTTATCTTTATTTCTTAGGTTTTCTCTACGGTAAATTTTATGTATTTTTTTAAGTTTTCTAAAGTAAATTTTCTCAAGAGCATTATTGGCTAACTTTAAGAATTTCATATTGAGTAATGGATAGTGATACCAAAGCGGAAATGAATACATTGATCTTATTTTTTTTGTCGTTTCATTGATAAATAATTATTTAGAGCATTATATTTGCGGATAAGAAAGTATATTATTAAGGCCCGATTACACCAACGTTACTTTGATTTTAAGCGAGATTTAAAACTCTGTCTTTGTCTCTTTTTGGCTTTAAAACAAGACAGATAGAGTTTTAAGTCTCGCTTAAAATCAAAGTGACATTGGTACAATTGGACTTAAGAAAATTTAAATGTTAGTAAATTTATGTTATTACTAGTGACATAAATAGAGAGATTTGTAATTTTACGTCAATGCTTCGTAGCAAACTATATTTTTATTAAAATTGCTGTATATATAGTTCAGCTAGCTTTGCATAAAAATAACACAATATCTGTAATAATGCAAGCGTCTTTTCACATGAGGCTACGTTTCGCTGCTGTGGAAATACGTATATTTATTCAAATGAGTTAATAACAAAAACGGTGAAATGGATTCGTGTCACAATACTTTTTGGATAACAATATATACGCCAACGGTTTATGCATGGAATTGACAAACTTCGCCGATCGGTAAATTCAACGCTGTTCTGCCATTACGGGTCCCTCAACCGGTCTTCGCATACCGTTAAAGTTTCTTATCGAGATTTCGTCGATAACCGCCTCCTCGTGGTACACTTAATATTTCTCTAGATTTCATTGATAGTTATACGCCTACATTCTTTATTGATCCTAGTGTTCATGTTTTATATATATATATTAGGTGTTGGAATTAATTCGTAGCGTATATCACGTGAATTCTTTTTTTACTGATTTCGCAACCGCCTCGTTCCATCGAGATCGTTCTGCGATCCATTTCGACAGGTGGCCCAGAGTCCGCCTCGTATTTCAGGATTCCAGACTCCAATTACGAGCTCCGCGAATAACCAAGGACCCTCTCTCTCTCATCTCTCCCTTTCTTTTTTCTCTCGGGAAGCTTTCGCGACCCAGTCTGGGATCTAATTTCCGATTTGTACGGATTCGTGGGGGGTCGATATGTGAAACACCGAATCGCAGCACGTTAGCATGCATTCACCGTTTTTACATCGTGTTCGCTACCATCGGCAACGATCACGCTATGAACATTAACCACGTTAAGTTGGCTCGATTTTGTTTTACACGGCATATATTGGTTCAGTAAAATTGAAGTAAGATTTACGTTGCGATTATTAGAAGCCAATTAATCAGTTATTTATACGAAT